CTATATTGTTTTTTATACTGTTTATATTTCTCATTATAAAAGGGATTCTTAGTGTCTCTGAACAGGTCATACAAGGTTTTCATTTTATTTCTAAGAGCAAGTGTTTCGTTAGAAAGCTTAATTTTGGGTTTCTTTATTACATTAATTTTCCTCTTAATAACGAGACATGTAATAATAGTAGACCACTTCATGTACTCAAGAACTAGTTTCATTTCTCATTGATATCACTACTATTATGTCCTTCAGTCCATTCCTCTTTTAAGAGACATTCATTGAGTAAATGTAGTTAGTATCACTCGTGTTGTGGGTGAATGTGTATTCAAGGCTAATAGAGCAATTTATTATTTTAATGATTTGTGCAGAGTGATCAGAAAGATAAAAATCAATATTATGAGAAGACATATTATTCATTTCAATGTTTGTAATGATGTGGCCTATGGTAGAGCTGAAATAATAATGATTGTAACACGTGTTGGCCTAACTCCAAATCATGAAGATTGAAGCTCTTTAATAAATCATATAGTTCATTATGTTCAATATTAATATTGAGATCTCCCAAAATTGTTAACCTATAATCGTGGTTTCCTATGAGTTTAGCTAAAAGTTCTTCAAACCCGAGTAAAAAGTCATTTACACTCGATTTTGGGGATCTATAATTGTCTATGATTTTCACATTCTCTTGCGTTGTGTTTATATCTACACCAGCTACTTCAAACGTCATTTCGATGCTCATATCTCTGATCCAGTATATTGATTTGCAAATTAAATTATTCTGCACTATTATTCCAACACCACCATTTTCACTGAATTCTCCACAGAAACCTGAAGTTTATAGTTCGAGAAGTTAATCATATTAATTTCATTATACTTAAGACCATGAGTAATGACTCCTATATGTATAAAATTTTCTTCTAGTATCTCAAGCTGTTCAACTTTCTTATGAATGTATTGAATATTTTGGTAAAGTACATTGAGGACATTATCTTTTTTACAATTTCACCACAGGTAAACATTAATTATTGCTACACATCGAGAGGAAACTTCTTACATGTTTGCCTGAAGTTATAAGAAGAAGCAATGTGTGGTCGTTTTGGTGATGGTGTGGAAGCCACAATGGAAGCAAAGGTTTGGGAAGGTAGATGAGGTGTGAAAACTTCAAATGGAAGCAAGGGATTGGGAAGACTGACAAGGGCATGAGGAGTGGCTACAAGGGAAGAATAAGGTTTAGATGAGTGATGAAGATGGCAGATTTGTTTGTGTTATGGAAGGAGGTGGAGAGATGAGGGATGTGAGAAGCACAGAAAGATTGAGTTTTCCTTTTATGGAAAGATGCAGACCATGGCGAGTAAAATCTGTTCTGTCCTAGCATCCAAGGTGTGTAATTTTCATTCATGTGTTTCTAGCAAAGAACATGATTTCCTTGTTTGTTTGTTGGATACAAATGATGTGTTTAGTGGTATCACGTCAGAGTGGCAGGGACATCATGATTACATTTGTTTTCTTGGTGACCTCACTGAGTTTTTTTAAAGATTTCTGGTACATTAATTGAGACACCTTGATCAATGTCACTGAACCCGCCAATGACAAATACTGTGTCCCTATTTGTGAAACAACACATGTGACTGTCAATCTCACTTGTCACATCTGCCAATTTGGCATTGGGTTTAAAAATCCCTAGGACCCCATGAGAAGGAAGTTTTTCTCTAAGCAGGGAGAACGTACCTATCGTGGCTCTCAGCAAGTATGGTTGCTGGGAGCACCCTTGGTTTATCAGAGTGTGTTTGTTTTCTGTCTGTTGCTTATATTGCTAAGTTTCTATTGTTGAGTTTTGTGAGCAATATGTGTTTTTGGGAGGAATTGTTTGGGTTGGGGGTAGCTGGTTTTTGGTATGTGTGGTGGCTAGAGGTGCAAAACAGTTTGGGAGGAGGTAGTTGTGTGTATGGATGACAACTGGATATTTTGTTTGTGTTACCGATGCCTATTTAATTTTGTTATTTCCTTGTAAATGGTTGATCTGATAAGAACATACAAATTGCTAAAAAGATTCCTTTCAAAAATAAGCAAGGAATTTCTGTAAATAATCTGTCTCATACTGAAGGTGACAGATTAGACAATATTAAATACAAAGCAATTGTTTAATAATGATATAGCATCTTTTAATTCATTTTTTGGAATAGTTTTTAAGTCAATTTTCCTTCTTCCTGGTGGACCTCTGTAATGTACTCACAGGGAACATGCTACACAACCTTTTTGAAAACAGTGATTTCTTTTCTTCACTGATTGGTTTTGTGTAGTCATAAGGTTTTCGAGACAGTAAATGAATTACTGTAATTAGAAAAGTATGAACTTTGAATGTTGTCTGCACAATTCCAATATTGATAGTCAAAGCTGTGGCTGACCCCCTTTTAGATTTTCATTCAAAAATAGATTCATAATATGTAGATGCATTGCAATACTTTTTTTCCCAATTTCTTAACTTTTTCTTAAACTTAATTTTATATAAAGGTGGGCCACAAATTTGGAAAATCTGTAATATCTGCTTTATATACTGGATCAATAGTGAATTTCCTTACATTTTCTGAATTAACAGTCATTTTTGTTACTTCCTTCACCATATAATACCCAACATTTCTTAGAGTTTTCTTTTCATGAAACCAAAATCCTTGTCCCAGTAAGAACGAGTGATCCCTACTTGGAAGCCTGAGCACCAATTTTTTAAAGCTTACCAGACTTTGCTAAGAGCCATGATGAAAAGAGTCATTGTGTGGATCTTATTTTGACCCATGGTACAATTATCACTGTAGAGGTAAATTTATTAGTGGTAGGGGTCACATTATCCTTGATATACTTCAGCAAAAATGTACAGACTTCATTGCTTCCCCTTCCAAGACTGGCTTTCTTCTTATATAAGTACTACATGGAACAAATGGTTCAATTCACAACACACACACTGTTTCTCAAAACCAATTTCTCACCTTAACACTCGGCAAAGGAAAAGCACAGCAATGCCATGAATTAATAATAAAGAGCTGACTGATGGTGTTCAGCTACTAGTCGTTCATTTATGAAAGGGCTCTTGCTCATGGCATAAGGTCTTTCATAAATACCCCAAAAACTTCTACGTTGCATATCGCCCTAAGTACAAATATCGCAAGAGCTCTTTCAAAATATAATGCTGCAAGACTGCATGAAATCAATTTTCATCAAAAGAACATGTTCCCCAAACTGACATTAGACCTTTCATAAATAAGTGATTCAATTAATTACATAAACAAGTTTATTTAGAGATATTCTTATGCTATAAATATTTTGTTTTATTTTTTCATTATAGATTTCTAATTATGATTTCCCATATATGTTTTTACTTTCTCATATACGTATGTATCTATGGAGTAAAATATACGAAGTAGAGTAGTATAGGAAAAGTTATGTAATACAGCAGAAAATCGATTTTGAGATTTCAATGGAAATACAAGTTTTGGGGTCCCGATACCGTATAAAAGTTTTTGTTTTTTTTCCAAAATGCCCATTTGTCTGTCTGTCCATCCACCTCTGTCTTGTGTATGAGAACAACACTAGCCCCTAACCATGTAAAGGATTTTTTTTTCAAATTGAAGAAACTCCTGAAGATCTGTCCTGAGATTTTGAAACACTTTCTTCAAAATTTGGAGGTACATTATATAAAACCCTCTGGAAATTTTCAAAATTTCCCGCTCCATTTTTTTTCTTTCAATTTCATGTAAGAATAGAGTAAAATACATTTACAAAGGTTGCATAGGTCCAATTTGCATGGTTATCTCTGAGTTTTTGAAAATTGCAAAAGTTTGAATTTTTTCGATGTTCCAACAACTACAACATCAAAGATAGAGGTTTTTCCTTCATATAAAATTTGTTGCCCACAATGAGTTTTTTCATTATGGTCACAGTTTTTTAAAAAAATTTAGTAGTGTTCGTGCAATAATAAAAAATTACAATAATCTGATTTTCTCAAAAAGGCTCCAAATGTTTCTTTAAACTTTTGGAAGTTCTAAATCTACTCTATAAGGAGACATAAACACCATATTGCTCTATTCCTTAGTTTTTCAAAAGGTACAAAAATGTTATTTTTTACTTGTCTCTCATGTCGTTATTATTTACATTAGCAGCAATTTGTTCACATCATTATATTTATGAGAACATGTTCTTTAAATAATGTTAAAGAAAGTTTCTTGAAAACTCAACCATCTTCTTTGAAAACTAGCTAAAATTTCTGCACTTACAGAAGTGCTCTAATGCCATTTTTTCACAAATGGCTCCAAATTTTTTTCTTCAAACTGTCCAAAAGAATAATCCTAATTGCACTCTTTAATATGATGTAAATTTCATTGCGGGGTGTTTTTTTTGTAATGTAATATTCTTTTCATGATTTTGTGTCATTAATATGCATATTTCCAGCAATTTGTAAACACTATTGTATTTATGACCAAATTACTTCATATGACTTCAAATGAAGTGTTTCAAAAACCCAAACATTTTCAGTTAAGAAGAGCTTCAAACTTCAATTTACAGTAGCGCTTAAGCACCATTTTTTTAAAAGGGTCCAAATGTTTCAAAGAAAATTGCCATATAGGATTAGGGTTCACTGTTCTTAAATATTCTTAACTTAATCAGTTTCATAATATTTGTTATGAAACTGAAAAATTAAGAAAATTCTTTAAGTAATTAAGAAATTTACTTTGGGTGGCGATAGATGGCGGCTGGCAAAAGTATTTGGCAACTTCGTATAGCTAGCCGAGACCAAAGGAAATAGAAAACTAATTCAGGAGAGAGTGTGCCATTTTGTAGCACCACTAGTTATTTTAAGTCTTTTTCCTATGTTTGTTCATTTGTGCTATTTCCAATCACGATCTCTGCTATTTAGAGATCACGATATGTACTTGCAATTTTATAACCCCAGTCACGTCTCTCCCAAAATCTTTCTTAATTATTTAATTACTATTAAGATATGAAGCACTTATACGTTAAGTATATTTTATTAAGAATTGAAAAGTTATAATACACTTTGCAATTGTAGGTGCAAAATAAAAACAATTGGTATTCAGAAATTCTACTTTTATGATACCTTTGTAAATTCCTCTTTGTGTAGTAACTAAAAAGAAGTATCAAAGATAACAATTTAACCTTTAATATCTTTTTCCAAAGATAGAGAAAACAATTGTTATGGAATTAAAAATAAATGACTGTCCATTAGAAATCTGCATTTTCACTTTTGCAGTACATTCAAGGCCAACTATATATTTTAAAATCAAAGAAAACTTTTAACAGAACAGTTCAGAAGTTAACAAAATATTCAATATGAGAATATTGTTCAATGTCACCACTATATAGAATAAAGATAAATGTATTGTAAATATTTTAATTTTGTTATGGTTGGGTAACAGTTGGGGAATAGAAGGAATTAAAGGCTATGTGTAAATTTACAATATACAATCAATACAAATTCACTAAAATATTATCAAAATAAATCTAATATAACAGGTTATAAAATATAAACAAAATCAGCTATATATATTGTATATCAATGTATATACAGAGGCATGTTCCAAAACTATTTAGGAGTACATAAAATACATTTCAGTAATTTTCATACAAGCTTTATAAATCACTGGAGAACTTTCAACCAGTTTCTTCAGTGAGTAATCCAATCAATACTGGAAACGAAGTCTTTACAATCAAATAATAGTCAAAATCATCAAATTAAATTACTTTTCTTGACCAATGACCAATTAACAGGTGTAAACTTTGACAGCACATCATATCACACTTGCTAAGCTCAGACGGATAAAGAATACAAACCTCAACAACCATTTTCACAGAACAGTACTGTACAAAGGCCAATAATACCAGATAAGTCTTTTCAGGACATGTTTACTTCCTTCTTAAGTTGTCCAACCGAGCCTGAAGATCTGCATCTGCATCTATAGCAGGACTACCAGCCCCACCCGCAGCCGCCGCAGCTGCTGGCGTTTTAGCTGTAGATGCTGCTAGAGAACCTGATGCCTGGGGCAGGCCAGACAGTTGATCAGTAAGTTGAAGACCAAGCTCATCCAAAACTTGAGACACTACAGCATCACTGAAACAAAAAAATGATTACTGTTACAAGAAACATTCCAAAAACCATGTTCGATAATAGTGAAGTTTCACTGAGTAACAGAAATGCTTTTCACAATTATCAATATTACTAACATAATAATAACAACAATGACGATAGTACTAAAATAATAATAATAATAATAATAATAATAATAATAATAATAATAATAATAATAGTTATTATTATTATTATTATTATTAATAAATTCGAATGTGCATAGAAATTGAAAGAAAACTATGCAGCCTCCAACCCTGTGAAAGAGGGTTTTGTTAGATACTGAAGAACATGGAGAAAAAACTCAAAACAATGAAACAGTTTTGATTTTGACCGACAAACGAAAACGAAATTTGATTGTTATTCTACCTATTCTCAAACTGCACATACCAATTGAATTTTTATACTTCGTGCATCACTACTTATGACATATTTGGTACCAAGCAACAGCAAGTTACTAAGGATGAGCTAATTAAAGTTTGCTATTCACATGTTGCGTTAGGGACTAGCAATTTTTTAAATATTTTTGGTATGTAAAGAATGTTGGTATGTAATGTTACTGCAGTATTAGTGAAGATTGTTTTCATGAAAATAATTAATTTATTGAAGTGCTGTACAAGAGTGTTTTATTTGTTGTTCTTGAGCAGTGTGCATGATACTTTTCTGAAAATAATTTTGAGATGTTTTGTTCAGCAACAAGTTTGCTGCACCACGCCACTAAAACACCAAAAACTTCATTCAAACCTATCACTAATTGATATGATACAATAAGTACAATTAGTTCCTCAGCAGAAGTGAAGACTGAAGTAAAATGTATGCATAAGTCCAAGACAAGAATCAGGTCCTGCCCAAAGGCTCTCAACTGATTCCAAACTATTAACATAAGAAACTAATAGAAAGTAACAGAATTTCATAAGACAAAATGTTTCACCTACATCAGCTCAATACAAAGCTGTTCTCATTCCAAGGGATTAACAACTTCCCAAACATACTTCTTTTATATTGCAAAAGTTGAAGACTTCATAATCTGACCCTCATTTTACCTCAGATTAAACAACATGAGAACCTTACAGAAAGTCCTGCACATCCACAAACACATTCACGATTGCACCAAAACTCACATACAGAACTTCACTGCAAACCCTACATTCCAAAACCTAATTATTCCTCCTCCTGCCACCTGTTCCAAATGCAGACATGAATCAGTCAAGATTGAGGAACTTCAGACATGATCACTGAAGAATGATGTGAACACTAAAGATGTAAAACTAAAAACCAACTTAAAACTCAACTGACATGCAAACTCAAAAACAAATATTCACATCCCAACCTGCCACAACACCCCCCACACTTCCTTACTTAAAAAATTAAGATTTTTGGCATTTTATAGTATTTTTAGAGTTTATTTTTCATTTTTTCATTGTGAGTTTATATGAAGTGTAGTGTGTGTGTTTATGTGAAATGT